TGGGGTCATTTATCACAGGTATTAAAAATTCGTGTGCGAAATCGAGTTGTACATTTGTAAGCAAACGAGTCGAAAAGGTTAAATGTACACAAACGGGTATCGCCCATTGCATGTTTGCCAGACTGATAGTGGACGCTTCCCCCTACTTCTGGTGTTCCAGCTAAGCTCAAAGCCGTTATAATTAACGGTCGTCGAAAGTCTCGAGTGGTTGAGTAGTTAATGAGTCGCACTGTCACAGACTCATAGATGTTGTTTCATAACCTTTATTATTTCATTATTTTCTTAAACTCAAGGCTTTATTCATAGTTCACGTTGTAGATAGTAAATAGATGTGCACCAGAAGTATTCAAACTTTTTCATCCTTCGGATCATTTGGGTGTTCACAACATTTTGATGGTTCCCAAATTATTATGAAAAAATTGAAACAACAAACGGATACCTACCTTATTATTAGGTATCCATAATTTTGTATAATGGTGTACCTAATAGTTACTACGTTATAGTGTAACCTTTCACGATAAAGTAGGCAATGAACACGATTGATTTGTTTTATTACTAATGTATTATTATTACTGAATAAGTGTCAGTTTTTATTATTTTATTTGTCATTCTAATTACTTAATGAAGTGCCCATCCCCATAATTTTCAAAAATCCAGTGAGCCGTGACTTTATTAAAATGTATGGAGTATGGAGTATCTAGTATCGCGATACTCCTGTAACGAGCTGTGACTTTATCTATATATATATTTATGAGTCCCTGGTAGTATAATATCATAATAGTAATGCTGAAGAGCAGCGGAGTAGTGCCAATAATAGTAATAATGCATATGACACTATATATATATCACAACTCATATAAATATTCTTTAAAGTAGGTCACGCAGGAATTGTGTGTTTTATGTAAACGGATATCGTGTTATAATGTGTTGTGTAAGGGACATCCGGTTAAGTGACACGTGCAGCCACACGCCACAGTCACACGTGCCATACATGACCACGGGTAACATGGATATGACTACTTGAGTAGGGACTAGGGATTTCTCTACAAGAGGAGCTCGTAGACACTACAATAGTCAGACGAACTTACCAACAACTAGCGACTGGAAGCTGAACACACTAGAAGTCACATCTCGTTATTACCATTTAATTGAATAAATTAATTGAACTTAGTCATTTTTTCCATATTATTAATTATTGGACTTATAATAAATAAAATATTATTCAAAAAACATCAAGTGTTGATTATTCCATTCAACTTCTTGACAATCCTAGAAAGGCTCGCTACACTCCAAAGCCAAGTATCTAGTATCTTGTATCTAGCATCTCAATACTCCTTTTTGAGTATCTTGCCCAACACCCTGCCTAGGTCTTATATAATTATAAATATTATTTGCAATCATTATGGAAATGAAAACGACGCGACCATTTGAAGTTTTATTTCTAGTCAATGTATATATATATATGTCACTGGGTTGTTACCATATAACATATTGTACCTACAGACGTAAAGTCCAATTCAATGTGCGTGTGTCACAGATATATATATATATTAATATATTATATACAATATAAATTACACATATAACTATATTTTATGATTTATCGGTACTGGGTTGAAAAATTATTTTTAACAACCTACAATATAAAATAAAAATATTAATTTCTGGATCATTAATTATTATCATCATTATTATTATTATTATTATTTCTTATTAATTATTATTTTGATAATGAAACCAGAATTGTATTGTATCTTGTATCGCATCATAAATTATTTTATGAAATACTAGATACATTGACTAAAAATGTATTACGATACAAGATACTCGATACTTCATATAATTATATCGAGATACAGGATACAATTGCATCTAAGATACGAATCTACGATACTTGTATTGCAGATACTGCCCAACTCTGGACCTAAGTATGATGTTGGTTTCCAGTGCTTTGACGCTGCTCCCTTTGCAAACTCTCGCGATGCCCTAGGGTGCCACGATCCACAGTTTCAATACTTCTGATTTACAATAAAAAAACTTTGAAATATTAAGTAAAACTTAATTATGTATTGCGTGAGATATTGAGTTATCTATTTAAATTATTATTAATGTATTTTTTTTTTTTAACACCAATGTAATTTATATTATCTATTATTGAGGATGTAGCCGCACTCAGCTTTAATAATAATAATATTAAGGTGCCTTTACGGCAGGAAGGCAGGCCAGCCAAGGTGCTGCACTACYAACCAAATAAATAAAATAAAATATAAATAATAAATAATAATATAATTCAGCTTATAGCAATAAATAGAAACAGCAATCAATAAAATARTATAATAATAATTTAGGGTAAAATAATGCTGGTCTTATAGAGGAACACTGAATACAATAAAAATTAGTAATGAAAAAATA